ATATCCTTAAAAAAACCCACATTTAATGGCCTGAAGGTCCTTGAAAAAGTATTCTTTAAAAAATCCACGTTTATTGGTCTGAAGGTGTTTGGTAAAATATTCTTTAAAAAATCCACGATTATTGGTCTGAAGGTCCTTGAAAAAGTATTCTTTAAAAAATCCACGTTTAAAGGCCTTATGACCCTTGAAAAATATTCTTTAAAAAATCCACGTTTAATGGTCTGAACGTCCTTGAAAAATATTCTTTAAAAAAATCACGTTTATTGTTCAGAAGGTCCTTGAAAAAGTGTTTTTTAAAAAATCCACGTTTATTGCTCAGAAGGTCCTTGAAAAAGTGTTCTTTAAAAAATCCACGTTTAATGGTCTGAAGGTCTTTGAAAAAATATTCTTTAAAAAATCCACGATTATTGGTATGGAGGTCCTTGAAAAGGTATTCTTTAAAAAAATCCACGTTTATTGGTCTGAAGGTCCTTGAAAAAGTATTCTTTAAAAAATCCACGTTTATTGGTCTGAAGGTGTTTGGTAAAATATTCTTTAAAAAATCCACGATTATTGGTCTGAAGGTCCTTGAAAAAGTATTCTTTAAAAAATCCACGTTTAAAGGCCTTATGACCCTTGAAAAATATTATTTAAAAAATCCACGTTTAATGGTCTGAACGTCCTTGAAAAATATTCTTTAAAAAATCCACGTTTAATGGTCTGAACGTCCTTGAAAAATATTCTTTAAAAAATCCACATTTATTGGTCTGAAAGTCCTTGGGTAAAATATTCTTTAAAAAATCCACGATTATTGGTCTGAAGGTCCTTGAAAAATATTCTTTAAAAAATCCACGTTTAATGGTCTGAACGTCCTTGAAAAATATTCTTTAAAAAAATCACGTTTATTGTTCAGAAGGTCCTTGAAAAAGTGTTTTTTAAAAAATCCACGTTTATTGCTCAGAAGGTCCTTGAAAAAGTGTTCTTTAAAAAATCCACGTTTAATGGTCTGAAGGTCTTTGAAAAAATATTCTTTAAAAAATCCACGATTATTGGTATGGAGGTCCTTGAAAAGGTATTCTTTAAAAAAATCCACGTTTATTGGTCTGAAGGTCCTTGAAAAAGTATTCTTTAAAAAATCCACGTTTAATGGTCTGAAGGTCCTTGGGTTAAATATTCTTTAAAAAATCCACAAAAAAAAAACATTCTTTAAAAATGTTGAAAAATCGTAAAGGGTACATCAATGTAATTAGACGACTGGTTAGCGCCAGAATGAGGATCGCCTCTTGAAGGGATGGAGATTTCTAAAGCTCTATACTCACATATAAAAATGTCTAAAATGTGGTTAAGGTAAGGTATGATTGTTACAATTTTGTGCATTTAAGGGGCATTCAAGTACCGGAAGATACAAATTTGTACAACATTATTACTAAGCCATAAATAACAACTCTAACTTACGAATTTCGCATGAGGTACATCTTCCGTTAGAGGGTGATAAATATAGAGAGATTTTTTAAAAATTTTCTTCATGGATGGGAAAACTACTTAAAAGTACGATATCATTGATCGATCGATTAAATTTAGGTCTTCCCAATATGGGTCACTCGTGAGAAGAATTAGTCAGATTTTTGCAAGTTTCTACCATAAGTGTACCTATGGTACTAAAAGGTAAAAAATCTAAGATCATTGTTATTGATCGATTGAAAAGAACTTGAGGTGTTGAAGCTTTGTGCTAGGGCCACCTTTAGTGCTGATTATTTAAATAAAAATTGGAATTATTGTAAAATAGTAACATATAAGTAGTAAAGAAAGTGTGTAGAGCACCATATAATACCTTAACTAGGTGCCTCATCAAAATAACGGTTTTAGACCTTGTCGATGTAGGGATGTCGCTCTGTATGTCTGTCTGACTGAAGTATGGTTATCCGCAAATCCTACTATTTGCTTCATACTACCTTTGGCGGTGATGAGCATATGTGATGTTTTGTAAACAAGTTCCCGTTACTCCACTGCGATCACGTGGTGGAGCCGGGTATAAAAGGGCAGTCAATTGCAGAATCGTGACAGAGAGAGCAAGACCTTCAACGTGACAACACCAAACCGGTAAGTGCTTAGCTAGAAATTTATCATGGTCACCCTTCTCTAGAGTGCTTATACAGGTCTCTAATCCTTGAATCGCGGTGGTATTCTTAGCATATCCTTGAACATCCTGTAGATCTTGAGTACTTATTAAGGTCTCTCGCAACTGTGTCCTTGAATATCCTGTAGTGCTTGAGTACTTATTAAGGTCTCTCCCAACCGTATCCCGGAATTTCCTGTAGTGCCTGAGTACTTATTAAGGTCTCTCGCAACCGTATCCTGGAATATCCTGTAGTGCTTGAGTACTTATTAAGTTCTCTCGCAACCGTACCCAGGAATATCCTGTAGTGCTTGAGTACTTATTAAGGTCTCTTGCAATCGTATCCTAGATCCTTGCAGTGCTTGAGTACTTATCAAGGTTTCTTGCAACCGCATCCTAGATCCTTGTAGCATAAGATCTCTTGCAGCCGTATCCTTGAATATCCTGTAGCCTGCTTGAGTACTTATCCAGGTCTCTCGCACTAAATCCATCCCGAATCCTGAAAACCCTGATCCTTTTCCTGTTCCTTGAGTACTTATCCAGGTCTGGTGTGGAAGAACCACCAATCCCTGACCGAAGACGAGTAGTATAGTTATTAATATTTTAAGTTCCGCCATAAATAAAAACGTAAACCACTGTTTTTCTCTTTCTGTCACAATAAATAAAATATCAGTACGAACAAAGGTGAGAAATCCTGTCGTTACAATACGTTGTGATATTACTTATACGCACTATGCCGTGGCTTTGGAAAGTATTTCAGACACTATTCAGATTTTAAAGATCATATCACTAATTTTCGATATCGAAAATTAAATTCCACACTGTTTAAAATTTATACTTAAACCCTTTGAAAAAGGAAGAGAACAAAAATGGCACCAGTTCTGAAAAAAAAAACCAAGTCAATAAAATTCGTGTTTATTTACTTTTCTTTGTGAGTGTTTGTTAGTGTGTGAAAAGGGATACGAAGGACCAACACAAGGTGGCATATTTTAAATTTTTCAGACAAAAAAATATTTAAACAATCTTCAGAGCGGCACGTCATATTGAGTTGAAAATGTTCGCAATGAAAAGGGTAGCTAATCGCTGACACATGGAAATTTAATTTTCTACTTGATTTGACACATATTTGTGCCAAAATATTGACAATTTAATATGTAGCTTGAAATGGCTGTTAAAAAGCATTTTAAGCTGGAAAATTCAAATTTAAAAATCGAGTTCAAAAAAAAAAACAAGTTAAAATATATCAGTCGATTTTACCGTTAGATGTATATCCTCGATTATTTAGATGTATATCCTCGATTATTTAAATATATTTTGACTTCTGTTATGATTATTCAAATTCTTGGCCCTCTGTGGAGTAGGTTCCGAAGGAATGGGCTAATATTGTCTAAATAAATATGATATAAATATTGTGACGTGCCAGATTTGGACTACTCAGGGTGAGATAAAAAAACTGCAACAAAGTCAAACGCCATAATTTAATTTTTTTTTTTTTTTTTCAATTTTATTGAATGAAGCAAAAAATGTCGGAAATAGCATCAGATTTTAGAAAAAGTTTGGATTTGTTCGAATTGGTTAGCTTCCGCACGAATTATGTCCCTCAAACGGCCAATGAAACCGTCACACGCTCTGTGGTATTTTGGCCCATTCCCGGCGAAGCGCTTGCTTGAGGTGATCGACACTTTGGTATTTTTTAGTGCCAACCTTGCTTTCTAAAATACTCCGGAGATTTTGGTGGCCATTATGCGCTGGAAATGAAGCGAGGAACCTCATTTGTTAACCATTCTTTGGGTGGCATGGTAGCGTGCTGAGTGCGATGGTGCTGAGTCCTGTTCGAATGTCCAAGGTCTGCGGCCAAAATGTTTGCGTGCCCTCAAGGCTTTAATATACCCTCCATAATATTTTCGCGATAATATTCGGCATTTATTCTGATGTCACGGTCGTTTAATACGAGCGGAGAGCTACCATCGGCTGTTATGGCGGCTCACACCATCACCATGGCCGGCGCTTGAGTTTTTGGTGGCCAACCGAAGGTGCCCATTTTTAGCTGACCTCTTTGGCTACTTAACACGATCATTTTGTTTGTTTACAAACAGCTGCGCAACGAATGTTTTCTCATCGGAAACGCAGAAAACCAAATTCAGCAGTTCACCACTTTCGGCCAAGCGCAGCAACTCTTTAGTTCTTTTGAGTCTATTTTATTTTTGTTGCGGTGCAAGTTCTTGCACTTTTTGGAATTTTAATGGTTTTACCCCGAGCTCATTTTTCATTCATTCAATATTTGCCGAATGGAATATTGCGTTAAGTTGAGCTCACAAGCCATTTTTCGGCCACTGCGACGCATGTTTCGTTCAAGTCGCTTCTTTACTTTTCGAACCATTTCTGCTGATGTTGCTGTTTTCTTCCGTTCACTTCCTTGACGTCGGCCTACGCTACCAGTATCACATAATGGGTAACGAGCGATGGTACGAGACACAAAAGATTTATTCACTTTTAAATGCTGGAGTGCTCTAATGATAGCCACTTGGTTGGTGGTTCTCCAGCCAAATACGAACACTATCCCGCTTGAATTCCACCACGAATAACTTTTTTTCTGGAAATTTCCCACCAAAATGTTTTTGTACGCTTGTCAAAAATAAAATGAGCTGTCACTGGAATAATTTTACCAGCTATCGGACGAGTGGCTTAGAAGCGACAGCAGTCTGAAGTTGGTTGCAGTTTTTTTTCTCTCTAGGCATATAGTTAAAGGTATAAAAATTGAAAATTCAAAACATGAATTAAGGGAATTTTCAAATTTCCCAACTTTTTGGCATTTTCCTATTTTACCTCCGTTTTTTCGGATTTTATTTTCCATTTTTTATTTCCAGTGTAATAATTTCCATATCACTTTTGTTCATATTTTCAGGCGGCCGAAGCCGGTAACTTGGATGACTTCAAAAGTCTATATCAGGCCGATAATACACGTCTCCTGCTGCAGGATGGCAAAGGACGAACAGCCGCCCATCAGGCAGCCTCAAGGAATCGAGTGAATATTTTACGCTACATAAGGGATCAAAATGGAGGTGAGTACCAAAAATCAACAACTACGACTTCCCCAAACTATTAAAAGTTAAAAAAAATTGGAATTAATTTTGAATTTAAAATTTAAACAAATGTCCAAAGAAAATGAATGCCAGCCAAGAAGAATTTTATTTTTTATTGAAATCTTAAATAATTTAAAAATTTTATTCGAATCAAGGCCGATGTAAGCTCAGCCAGTTAGGCCATATGTCTAATATTTGCTTTGTTTCAGAACCTGCAAGGATCTACCAGTTTTGCAATTTCTTTCCGATGTTGGAAAAGGGAAAATCGGTTATCTTAGTAAAAACTTTTACATTCTTGCAATTCTGGAACAGTCCAATTGCCAAATGTCAAAATACATAGTTTTGATTTGAAATTCAAAGAAAATCAACCAAATTACAATGGTGGGAAAAATGCTAAGATTATAGTCAAAATTTTAGTATTCTTCTTATCCGACCGTATGTAGGTCTTGAATGAAATATAAAAAAATTTCAAAATTTAAGCACAAAAAAAAATAAATAAATAAACAAGTTCGGCCGGGACGAACTTTAAATACCCTCCACCATTTGAAACAAATTTTGGAAATTTCCAAAAAAAAAACAGTAAAGAAAGTTTTAAAGTCGGGCGGGGCCGACTTTATGATACCCTATACCACTTTACTAATTTAGTAGACCTCCACATAACAATTAAAAGTTTTTATGGGAGAATTCAATCATACACGCTATAATTATAATTGTAATTTAAAGTTTAAAGGACTAAATATGCCGAAGGATTTGTATATTTTAAATTCGGACTTGGGTTGCCCATTTGATGCACAAATAATTTAAAATTGGATAAAAATATATATGGGAGCCACATCCAAATCTGAACCGATCTCGATAAAATTTGGCAAATATATTTCTGAGCTGTATTTTATATATTTCCTTGAATATCGTTGTTACGGAGTGCATATTACGGTTGTGGGTAACAAATATAACAAATCGGATGAACAGTATATATGGGAGCTATAGCTATATCTGAACCGATCTTCACCAAATTTGACATACTAGCTTCTAAACTCAATTCGGTCGTAAGTGACAAATTTCATTCCATTTGGGCAAATATTAGACGTTTGGTGCACCAGAAAAGGTAAATCGGACGAAGTTATATATGGGAGCTATATCCAAATCTGAACCGATCTCGATAAAATTTAGCAAATGTATTTCTGAGGAGTATTTGATATATTTTCTTAAATATTGTTGTTGCATAGTGCATATTACGGCGGCGGTGGACAAAAATAACAAATCGGATGAACAATATATATGGGAGCTATAGCTATATCTGAACCGATTTCGATCAAATTTGGCATACTTATTTTGAGGCCTAATTTGGGTGTATATGCAAAATTCCATACAATTCGGGCTGATATTACACGTTTGGTGCACAATAAAAGGCAAATCGGACGAAGATATATATGGGAGCTACATCTAAATTTGGACCGATTATCTAAAATTTCAATAGGGTTCGTCCTAGGGCCAAACAAATGATCTGCGCAAAATTTCATCTGGATTGGGCAATAAATGCGACCTGTACTTTGTTTACAAAAATACATGGACAGACGGACGGACAGACGGACGGACGGACATGCATAAATCGACTCAGAATGTGATTCTATGCAGATCATCAAAATGAACTATGGATCTATCTCGTTTCCTTTTGCCTGTTACAAACAAATGCACAAAGACATAATACCCTGACCACCTTGCGGTGTAGGGTATAAAAATCCCTTAAAAATTCTGTTAAAAACTTAAAAATACCGAATATTGCCGTTATATCGGGGTCCATACGAAGACGTGGACCTGCATAGGCAACTTTCGTCATAGGCCATTAGAATATTCAAATACGAAACTTGAAAAATAATCCGGTGAATAATGTAGCTAAAATCATCAAAATACCGAATATAGGGAGCTACCGTTGTATCGGGGCTATACGAAGACCTGGACCAGCTTAAAAAATTTTCTGACACCGACTGTAGTATCTAACTTCAAATACGAAATTTCAAACAATTTCGGTGAATATTGTATCTAAAATCGTCAAAATATCGAATATAGGGAGGTACATGGGATATATGGGGCCTATACAAAGACCTGGACCTGCGTAGACAATTTTCTGTCATAGACTGTAGTTTCCATTACGAACATCAAATACGAAATCTGAAACAATTCCGGTTAATAATGTCGCTAAAATCATCAAAATACCGAATATAGGGAGGTACTACCTTATATGGGGCCTATATGAAGACCTGGACCTGGATAGACAATTTTCTGTCATGGGCTGTATTATCCATTTCGAATCTCAAATACAAAATTTGAAACGATTCCGGTTAATAATGTCGCTAAAATCATCAAAATACCGAATATTGGGAGGTACCGTTATATGGAGGATATACGAAGACGTGGACCTGCATAGAAAATTTTTTGTCATAGACTCTAGTTCCCATTACGAACTCTAAATACAAAATTTGAAACAATTCCGGTTAATAATGTCGCTAAAATCATCAAAATACCGAATATCGGGAGGTACCGTAATATCGGGGCTATACGAAGACCTGGACCTGCATAGACAATTTTCTGTCTTAGGCTGTAGTATCCATTTCGAACTTCAAATACCAACTTTTAAACAATTCCTTTGAATAATGTCGCTAAAATCATAAAAATACCAAATATCGGGAGGTACCATTATATGGAGGCTATACGAAGACGTGGACCTGCACAGATAATTTTCTGTCATAGACTGTAGTTTTCACTACGAACTTCAAATACGAAGTTAGAAAAAAGTCCGGTGAATAATGTCCCTAAAATCATCAAAAAATATCGAATATCGGGGGGTACCGATGTATGTGGACTATACGATATCGTGGATCTACATGGCCCATTTTCTGTCTTATGCTGTAGTATCCATTACGAACTTCAAATACGAAATTTGAAACAATTCCGGTAAATAATGTCCCAAAAATCATCAAAAAAAATACCGAATATTGGGTTATATGTGGGCTATACGATATCGCGGACCCATATAAACATTTCTCTCCCAGGGTGTACAATGCTTAGAAAGAACTACAGGTATGGATTTTGGACGATTCCATTGGAAAATGTGGCTAAAATCATCAAAATATCAAATATTGGGGGGGTACCGTTGTATGTAGGCTATACGATATCGTGGACCAAGGGTAAGGGCAATACTCTTCAAGGGGGTAAAGTACTCAGATGGAAGTCCTTTTGTGGATTTCCAATTTCATTGAAAAATTTGGCTACAATCATCAAAATACCGAATATGGGGGGGTATCGTAATATGGGGGCCATACGATATCGTGGACCGATATAGCCCATCTTCGAACTTAACCTGCCTGCAGACAAAAGACTGTGAAAAATTTTAGCTTCCTATCTTTATTCGTTTCGACTCGAGCGTAATTACAAAAGACAGACCTACGGAGCGGATTACAAAAAACGGACGGACGGACAGGAGTAAATCGTCTTAGAATTGTACGGTGATCAAGAATATATATAATTTTTTTGGGTCTAAAATTATTATTTCGAACTTAATATACCCTACATATACCCTATGTATGGTGGAGGGTATAAAAACCCAAATAGAATTTGGTATTTTTCTTTGGCATTTTTTTTCTTTCGACATTCATTGACAGACCATAAATTAACTAAAAAATTAATGGAAATTTTCTTTTCTTTTATTTCTTCCTCCCTCTATTTTCCAATTCTATGTCCCATCATCTCAGCAGATTTCAATATTAAAGACAATGCCGGCAATACACCCATACACATGGCTGTGGAATGTGATTCACGTGATGCCTTGGAATTTTTATTGTCAATGTAAGTATAAAGACCTCCCAATGAGAGAGAGAGAGAGAGAGAGAGAGGGAGAAACACAAAGTGTGTGCTTTTAAATTTGAACGCCACAATAGACTCATTAGCCAATACACCACCGACAACAACAAAAACAACAGCAACACCAACCACAACTGGAGGACATATCGGTATCATCATCGCCGTCGTCTTTAATGTCCTGACATCAGTGCCTGCCATTGTAGAATGTTGCTATCTGCTGGAAACCATGCGTTCCAAGTCAACAAGCACAAAATGGTCATATTTCACGTTGGCAGCTCTCCGATGATTGCCTGGTGTTTGGTGAGGTGGTGAGAGGTTCTTTCGCGATATAGGATTGCGGTTTAAGGGTTTTGTGAGAAGAGATTGTGTTGGGAATTTAATTTAGGAATAAAAGACTTTGAAAAAAAAAAAAACAATTTTTTGAAAATGAATTTCAAAATTTAAATTTAAAAAATCAGGGATCAATTCTACGGGATATTGTCTATATGGCAATAGAATATATGACAATTGGTCAGTGTCAACCACTAGTCAAAGGAAAATTTGTCATTTGGATAGTTTGCTACTTTCCAAAGAACAATTAATTGCAATAGGTTAATTGCAGTAGGGTGACCGTTGATTTATTATACCCTACACCACAAGGTGGTCGGGGTATTATGTCTTTGTGCATTTGTTTGTAACATGGAGAAGGAAGCGAGATAGACCCATAGTTATTCTTGAGGATCTCCATAGAATCACTTTCTGAGTTGATTTATGCATGTCAGTCCGTCTGTCCGTCCGTCCGTCTGTCCATGTATTCTTGTGAACAAAATGCAGGTCGCATTTATTATTCGATTGACATGAAATTTTCAAAACAACATTTGTTTGGCCCAAGGACGAACCCTATTGAAATTGGAGATAATCGGTCAACCTTTAGATATAGCTGCCATATATATCTTCGTCCGATTTACCTTTTCTGGTGCACCAAACGTGTATTATCAGCCCGAATAGTATGGAATTTTGCACATACAACCAAATTAGGCCTGGAAATAATTATGCAAAATTTGATCGAAATCGGATCAGATATAGCTATAGCTTCCATATATATTGTTCATCCGATTTGTTATTTTTGTCCTCCGCAGCCGTAATATGCACCCTATAACAACAATATTTGGGGAAATATATCAAATACAGCTCAGAAATATCTTGGCCAAATTTTATCAAAATCGGTTCAGATTTGGATATAGCTCCCACATATAACTTCTTCCGATTTACCTTTTCTGGTGCACCGAATGTCTAATATTTGCCCAAATGAGATGAAATTTGGCACTTACGACCGAATTGAGTCTAGAAGCTAGTATGTCAAATTTGATGAAGATCGGTTCAGATTTGGATATAGCTGCCATATATAACTTCTTCGGATTTACCTTTTCTGGTGCACCGAACGTGTAATATCAGCTCGAATAGTATGGAATTTTGCACATACAACCAAATTAGGCCTGAAAATAAGTAGGCCAAATTTGATCGAAATCGGTTCAGATATAGCTATAGCTCTCATATATATTCTTCATCCGATTTGTTATTTTTGTCCTCCGCAGCCGAAAATATACACTCCGTAACAAGGATATTCAGGGAAATATATGAAATACAGCTCAGATATATCTTTGCCAAATTTTATCGAGATCGGTTCAGATTTGGATATAGCTCCCATATATAACTTCGTCCGATTTACATTTTTTTATGCACCAAATGTCTAATATTTGCCCAAATGGGATCAAATTTGGCACTTACGACCGAATTAAGTCTAGAAGCTAGTATGTCAAATTTGGTGAAGATCGGTTCAGATATAGCTATAGCTCCCATATATATATTGTTCATCCGATTTGTTATTTTTGTCCTCCGCAGCCGTAATATGCACCCTATAACAACAGTATTTGGGGAAATATATCAAATACAGCTCAGAAATATCTTGGCCAAATTTTATCAAAATCGGTTCAGATTTAGATATAGCTCCCACATATAACTTCGTCCGATTTACCTTTTCTGGTGCACCAAACGTCTAATATTTGCCCAAATGGGATGAAATTTGGCACTTAAGACCGAATTGAGTCTAGAAGCTAGTATGTAAAATTTGCTGAAGATCGGTTCAGATATAGCTATAGCTCCCATATAATCTGTTCTTCCGATTTGTTATATTTGTTACCCATAGCCGAAAATATGCACTCCGTAACAACGATATTCAGAGAAATATATGAAATACAGCTCAGAAATATCTTTGCCAAATTTTATCAAGATCGGTTCAGATTTGGATATAGCTCCCATACATAACTTCGTCCGATTTACCTTTTCTGGTGCACCAAACGCCTAAAATTTTCCCAAATGGGATGAAATTTGGCACTTAAGACCGAATTGAATCTAGAAGCTAGTATGCCAAATTTGGTGAAAATCGGTTCAGATATAGCTATAGCTCCCATATATATTGTTCATCCGATTTGTTATTTTTGTTACCCACAGCCGAAAATATGCACTCCGTAACAACGATATTCAGGGAAATATATCAAATACAGCTCAGAAATATATTTGCCAAATTTTATCAAGATCTGTTCAGATTTGGATATAGCTCCCATATATAACTTCGTCCGATTTGCCTTTTATTGTGTACCAAACGTGTATTATCAGCCCGAATAGTACGGAATTTTGCACCTACAACCAAATTAGGCCTGGAAATAATTATGCAAACTTTGATCGAAATCGGTTCAGATATAGCGCCCATGGCTCCCATATATATTCTTCATCCGATTTGTTATTTTTTCTCCGCTGCCGTAATATGCACTCTGTAATAACAATATTTGGGAAAATATATCAAATACAGCTCAGAAATACATTTGTTAAATTTTATCGAGATCGGTTCAGATTTGGATATAGCTCCCATATATAACTTCGTCCGATTTACTTTTTATTGTGCACCAATCGTCTAATATTTGCCCAAATGGGATGAAATTTGGCTATTACGACCGAATTGAGTCTAGAAGCTAGTATGTCAAATTTGGTGAAGATCAGTTCAGATATAGCTATAGCTCCCATATATATGCACTCCGTAACAACGTATTCAGGGAAATATATTAAATACAGCTCAGAAATATCTTTGCCAAATCTTATCGAGATCGGTTCGGATTTGGATATAGCTCCCATATATAACTTCGTCCTATTTACCTTTTCTGGTGCACCAAAAATCTAATATTTGTCCAAATGGGATGGAATTTGGCACTTACGACCGAATTGAGTCTAGAAGCTAGTATGTCAAATTTGGTGAAGATCGGTTTAGATATAGCTATAGCTCCCATATATATCCGATCATCCGATTTGTTATTTTTGTCCTCCGCAGCCGTAATATGCACTCTGTAACAACAATATTTGGGGAAATATATCAAATACAGCTCAGAAATATCTTTGCCAAATTTTATCAAGATCGGTTCAGATTTGGATATAGCTGCCATATATAACTTCTTCGGATTTACCTTTTCTGGTGCACCGAACGTCTAATATTTGTCTAAATAAAATGAAATTTGGCACTTACGACCGAATTGAGTCTAGAAGCAAGTATGTCAAATTTGGTGAAGATCGGTTCAGATATAGCTATAGCTCCCATATAATCTGTTCTTCCGATTTGTTATTTTTGTCCTCCGCAGCCGTAATATGCACTCTGTAACAACAATATTTGGGGAAATATAGCAAATACAGCTCAGAAATACCTGTGCTAAATTTTATCAAGATCGGTTCAGATTTGGATATAGCTCCCATATATAACTTCGTCCGATTTACCTTTTCTGGTGCACCAAACGTCTAATATTTGCCCAAATGGGATGAAATTTGGCACTTACGACCGAATTGAGTCTAGAAGCAAGTATGTAAAATTTGATGAAGATCGGTTCAGATATAGCTATAGCTCCTATATATACTGTTCATCCCATTTGTTATATTTGTTAGCCACACCCGAAAGTATGCACTCCGTAACAACGATATTCAGGGAAATGTATTAAATACAGCTCAGAAATACCTTTGCTAAATTTTATCGAGATCGGTTCGGATTTGCATATATCTCCCATATATAACTTCGTCCGATTTACCTTTTATTGTGCACCAAATGCCTAATATTTGTCCAAATAGGATAAAATTTGGCACTTACGACCGAATTGAGTCTAGAAGCTAGTATGTAAAATTTGATCGAAATCGGTTCAGTTTGTTCCCCACAGCCGTAATATGCACTCCGTAACAACAATATTCAGGGAAATATATGAAATACAGCTCAGAAATATCTTTGCCAAATTTTATCGAGATCGGTTCATATTTTGATTAGCTCCCATGTAGATCTTTTTCCGATTTCATTTCTGATTTTTTTTTTTTTTTTTTTTTTGGATGAAAATTTTCAATCTTTCATGGCTCGATTTCATATTTATTTTACTATTGCAGGGGCAAGACATTATTCTACCAAAAAAAAATACCTCTTCTAAATCAATATTAGAATTTTCGTTATGTAAGCAATAGAAATTGGCACCAAGTCTTCATGCAAAGGAAAATTCCGCGTTTAATTACTTCTTTGGAAAATATTTTCTAATAGTTTATTAATTTCTTAGGCAATCAATCCTTTGTCCTATGGGCACCCCTCAAATTGCTCCTGAAAAAAAATATGCACACCTTTAATTAATTGCACAACAAAGAACCCTCACACCCTGGGAGGGCATAGAAGAATGGCCACAATAATTGGCCGTTTGACGTTTTGTTGCACAACTGTCTTAATTAACTTGTCAAAATAATTTCTGTTTTTTTTTTTTTTTTGAAATTGCATTTCCTTTTCACGTTTTTCTATTTCTTCCTGGAATCAATTAAACCGGGTGCATTAATTAATTCTCTATTCTCTTCCCTGTTCTCTTTTGTTTTCTTTCATCAATTTTTATGGCATCTTGTGTAACACCAGACCCGTGGACACCAGCATCCTGAATGACAAGAAACAGGCGCCCGTTCACCTGGCCACCGAGCTGAATCGCGTGGAAGCGTTACGCGTCATGGGCAAATATCGCAACGTCATCGACATCCAACAGGGCGGGGAACATGGACGCACCGCCCTGCACTTGGCCGCCATCTATGACCATGAGGAGTGTGCCAGAATTTTGGTATGGAAATGCAGGGTACATTATCTGGTTTTCTAATTTGCTTGTGAATGTCGTCAAAAGAAAAAACAATTAATTTATTGTTTATTATTTTTATTTAATTATTATTTTATGTTCATTGGCTCAATGAACGTTAATCAATCATCTTGCGTTCTATTCTGTTCTGTTATTAACCTTTTCTACCCTTTTACGACTCACCCTCCTGTCTCGTTGAACTTGATATTTACACAATTCTTATCACCCATCAACCCCCACCACCCTCATTCACTCTACTCTCAGTCTATCATGAAACGTTTTCTGTTCAATTTCCCCCCCTCTGGCCTCCTGAATGTAAGGCATTGAAAGGAAGAATTTTATGGTTGTTGTTGTATATTAAACTTGTATATGTGTATGTGTTTGTGTGTATGTATTTGTAATAGAGCTGTAAGAGTTAAATTACTTCAAAAAAAATTCTAATTATTTTATTATTATTTTTTTAATAATAATTTCTTATATTTAAAAATTATCATAAATATTATTAAATAATGTTAATGTATTTGTGTCTGTGTATGTGTTAGATTTTTTATTTAATTCTCATAATTTTTTATTTCTGGATGTAAATTGTCTCTTTAATGCCATAAAAAATAGGAAAATAGTTTAAAGTAGTGCTCTTGGGCGTATACATGTTTTCGTTACTCATACGCACTATGATACATATTTTTAAATCTTCAAATTTGGTATGTTTATTGACCGAAAAAACCCCGGTGATATTTCAAATATTTTGGATTATAAGGCTATGGAATTTATTAATTCCATAGTTAAATTCAAAATAGAAATTGAAAAAAAATAAATTTTGCGCAAGATAAATTGGGGTTATATCTCGGGAACCACAAAGAATTTTGATTTACCATTCAAAACGTACTTGAAGCTCAAGATGCGGGAAGCAAAATTGTAAAACAACGAAAATGGAAAAAATTACAACTAATACGTGAAAAATTATAAAATACGAAAACGCAATATTAAGATGGAACTTTATTTTGCGCAAGATGAATTGGGGTTATACCTCGGGAACCATAAGGAATTCTGATTTGCCATTCGAGACTGACTTGAAGCCCTAGCTATGACGAGCAAAAGTGTAAAACAAAGCAAACCTTGGAAACCACAACTACTTCGTCAAAATTGATAAAATACGCAAACGCAATATTATGTTGGAACGTCATTTTCTATAATAAAAAAAAATAATTTTGCACAAGATAAATTGGGGATATATCTCGGGAACCATAAGGAGTTTTAATTAACCATTCGAGACTGACTTGAAGCTCTAGGTGTGCGGAGCAAAAACGTTAAACAAAGTAAACGAGAAAAATGGCAACTAGTTCGACAAAATTTATAAAATACGAAGACGCAATATTATGCAAACAAATTGATTTTGCTCAAGAAAAATTGGGGTTATATCTCGGGAACCATCAGGAATTTTGATTTAAGATTCGAGACTGACTTGAAGCTCTACGTGTGCGGAGCAAAAACGTTAAACAAAGTAAACGGGAAAAATGGCAAGTAGTGCGACAAAATTCATGAAATACCAAAACGCAATATTTAGATGGAACTTTAAAAAACTTGATTTTGCGCAAGATAAATTGGGGTTATATCTCGGGAACCATAAGGAATTTTGATTTACCACTCGAGACTGACTTGAAGATCTAGGTGTGGGGAGCAAAAACGTTAAACAAAGTAAATCGGAAAAATGCAACTGGTACGAAAAAAATTATAAAATACGGAGACGCAATATTATGCAAACAAATTGATTTTGTGCAATATAAATTGGGGTTATATCTCGGGAACCATAAGGAATTTTGACTTAACATTCAAGAGTGACTTGAAGCTCTGGGATTGCGGAGCAAAAACGTTAAACAAAGTAAATCGGAAAAATAGCAACTAGTACGAAAAAATTTATAAAGGGCAGAGACGCAATGTTATGCAAAAGAAAATGATTTTGCGCAAAAAAAAAATTGGGGTTATATCTCGAGAACCATCAGGAATTTTTATTTAAGATTCGAGACGGACTTGAAGCTCTACGTGTGGGGAGCAAAAACGTTAAACAAAGTAAATCGGAAAAATGGAACTAGTGTGACAAAATTTATAAAATACAGAGACGCAATATTATGCAAAAGAACTTTATTTTGAGCAAGAAGATTTGGGGTTATATCTCGGGAACCAATAAAGAATCTTGATATACTATTCGAGACGGACTTGGAGCTCAAGATGTGGGGAGCAAAATTGTAAAACAACGAAAATGGAAAAAATTACAACTAATACTCGAAAATTTATAAAATACGAAAACGCAATTTATGTTGAAACTTTATTTTCTATGACAAAAAAATGTGATTTTGTGCAAGATAAATTGGGGTTATCTCTCGGTAACCATAAGGAATTTTGATTTAACATTCGGGGCTGACTTAAAGCTCTAGCTATGGGGAGCAAAAGTGTTCAACAAAGCAAAGCTAAAAAATCACAACTACTTTGTCAAAATTGACAAAATACGAAAACGCAATATTAAGTTGGATTTTTATTTTGTATGTGTTATATCTCGAGAACCATAAGGAATTTTGATTTACCATTCGAGACATACTTGAAGCTCCAGGTATGCAGAGCAAGAACGGGAAACAAAGTAAACGAATAGATATGCAACTAGTACGACAAAATTTATAAAATACGTAGACGCAATATTATGCAAACAAATTGACTTCGCTCAAGATCATTTGAGGTTATATCTCGAGAACCATCAGGAATTTTAATCAAACATTCGAGACTGACTTAAAGCTCTAGGTCTGCGGAGCAATACTGTAAAACAAGGTAAACGAATAGAACTGCAACTAGTACGCCAACATTTATAAAATACGCAGACGCAATATTATGCAAAAGAAAATTATTTTGAGCAAGGTAATTTGGGGTTATATCTCGGGAACCATTAAAAATTTTGATTTACCATTCAAGACTTACTTGAAGCTTTAGGTGTGGGGAGCAAAAACGTTAAACAAAGTAAACGGGAAAAATTGCAACTAGTTCGACAAAATTTATAAAATATAGAGATGCAATGTTATGCAAAAGAAAATGATTTTGTGCAAGGTGAATTGAGATTATATCTCGGGAACCATACGGAATTTTGATTTACCATTCGAGGCGTACTTACAGCTATAGGTGAAGGGAACAAAAGTTCAGATCAAAGTAATCGAAAATCATTACAACTAAAACGTCAAAATTGATAAAATGCAAAAACGCAATATTCGGTTGAAAATTTTTTGTATTTAAAAATTTTTGAATATATCTCCGAAATTATAAGCAATTTTAAATTCCTGTCTTCGGCATATTTGAAGCCATAGCCCTGAAGAATAAAAAAAAAATTTTAGGTAACCTAAAATTATTTAACGTAGCGCCTAAAACTTGTAATGGAATATGAAAAGTTATTATTTGCCCATTAAATTTTTGTGCACGACACACTGAAGTTATATCTCAGGAACCATAAGGAATTTTGATTTATTGTTCGAGACATACTTGCGGCTATAGGTGTGGGGAACAAAGGTGCAGAACAAAGTATTTGAAAATAATTTCTACTAATACGTCAAAATTGATAAAATACGAAAACGTAATATTTGGTTGACATTTTATTTTGTATTTAAAAATGTTTGAATGTATCTCCGAAACTATAAGGATTTTTCAATTCCTGTCTTCGCCATCCTGGAATCTATGGGCTTGAAGAATATTTGCGTGAAACTGGGGAACTTAACCAAATTTCATCTAGTACCTCAAAATTGATGAAATAATAAAAACTAAGTATTTGCCTGTCTAAACACTTAATTTTGTGCATGATATTTGGGGGTTATATCTCAGGAACCAGAATGAATTTTGATTTATAGTTCAGGACATACTTATAGCTGCAGGTGTGGGGAAGAAAAGTGCAGAACAAGGTAATCGGAAAAAAATTACAACTAGCATGCCAAAATTGATAAAATCCGGAAACGTAATTATAGGTTAAAAAATTATTTTAAACATAAAAAATATCGAAGATATCTCGAAAACCGTAGGGAATTTTAAATTACTTTCTTCGGAAAAATTGTCGACATGTTAATGAAGAATATAAGTGCAAAGCAAGTGAAATTGATAATGTTTCATCTTGCAACACAAAATTTGAAGATATATGAAAATTCATTATTTTTGTACTAACTTGATTTTGCGCATGACACATTGAGGTTATATCTCCGAAACCGGAAGGAATTTGAATTTGCAATCCGAGGCATACTTATAGATTTAGGTGTGAGGAAGAAAAGTGCAGAACAAAGTAATCGGAAAAAATTACATCTAGTATGCCGAAATTGATAAAATCCGGAAATGCAATTATAGGATAAAAATTTATTTTAATCATAAAAATTGTTGAAGATATCTCGAAAACCGTAGGGAACTTTAAATAACTTTCTTCGGCAAAATTGTCGACAAGTTAATGGAGAATATAAGTGCAAAGCAAGTGAATTTGAAAAAGTTTCATCTTGCACATTAAAATTGATGATATATGAAAATTCATTATTTTTGTACTAACTTACTTGCGCATGACACATTTAGGTTATATCTCCGAAACCGGAAGGAATTTGAATTTACAATCCGAGGCATACTTACAGCTATGGGTGTGAGGAACAAAATTGTGAAACAAAGCTAGAGAGAATACCCGCATCTTATACGTCAAAATTGATAAAATACCGAAACGCAATGTTAGGTTAAAACTTCATGTAATACTTAAAGAATGTCGAAAATATCTCAGAGACCTTTTGGAATTTTTAATTACTTTCTTTGGCAAAATTGTCGACATAATCTTGGAGAATAAAAGTGTAGGGCAGAGCAATTTAAATAAACGTGGTTTAGTTGAGCAAAATTCATAAAATATGCCAATAATAAAGAAATATTCATTTTTGACTAAATTTTGACTTTTTTATAAAAATATTGTAACCATTTGAAATTTTGTTTAAAAACTTATAGCCACGAACTTCTGGAGTAAATATATTCATCAATATCTATAAGAAATAAAATTTATTTTTTCGTATTTAATGCATTTCTTGTATAAAATATATTTTTTGCTCCAATTTATGTTATATGCATTTCTTGATGTTGCACATTATTACAAAAATTAAATTTATTAATTTTTAAATCCCCTTTTTCACAAACATCTGTATGTAAAATAACAATATTTTTCCAACTTTTTTCCTTCTATGTGTTTTTTTTATCATGTATCCTTATGCTCGTAAAAATTCACTTTAGAAAAAATAAATTCCCCTCAAAAAAAAAAAAACTACTAAATATTGAGTATAATTTTGTTGTATTTATTTTTGTATTTTTTTTCTTTTTTTTTTTTGTGACACCGTTCTATGGCCACTTGATTTTTTTAGATAACTGAATTTGATGCATGTCCACGTAAAGCCTGCAATAATGGTTACTATCCCATACACGAGGCGGCCAAAAATGCCAGCTCGAAAACTATGGAGGTCTTTTTACAGGCAAGTATCACAAAATATAACAAAAAGAGTAAAAAAAATATAAAAAAAACTGGAAAACATGAAACAACAATCTGGCAAAACAGCAACTACAATAACAAAAAAAAAACAAAATTTCGGCAAAAAATATGAAAAAAGTTAACCCAACCAAATGTAGAACAAAAATGTAGTTTAAATCTCAAAGGTCAAATATTCAACAGATACGGTGTTTGATTTTTTTTTGGTTTACATGATAACATTTTCAAAACAAAAACAATACTTCTGAAAATTGCGAATGGCTTATTTTGCAAGAAAATTTTTACACACACACACACAATACGAAAAAAAAAAATATTCCGGCATAGCATAAATGTTTTTCAGGTGGAATATATTTTCCATTTATCCATAACCCAATATGGGACCTAGTGTCATAGGGTCGCTCAAAGAACATCATTGACCTAAGCCAATTTTTTTACTCAAATTAATAGTGTATACTACGATTTACTGTGCAGCAAAATATTTGGGGCGAACAATTCCTTTTAGGAGTGATAGCCCTCGATAAATTTCACTGAGTGACAAAATTCAAATTTTTCAATAATTACGATGAAAATCCAACAGATTATAAAAGTAGAGTTAAAAAAGAAGACACGTGTATCGGCGTTTTGAAAGTTTACTTCGCAAAGTAACCGAAATAGAGGGGACCAGATTCCTCCTCTTCCACATTTGTATACCCTCAGCCATATGGCTACAGAGGATATATATCATTTGATACGGTCAAACCGTGCCTAGTGGGAAAAAACGTTTTTAGACCCTAGGTCTCTTTGGACCAAATCCGCTTCAGAACATTTGGAGTCGATCTACCGATGTCCGTCCGTCTGTCATTCTGGCTGGCTGGTGCGCACGATAACCCTCGAAGGGAGTATCCGATTTGACCCAAACTTGGTACATCGTATTTTTTTTGTCCAACTAAGATCGAGTCGGAGATGGCAATATCGGTCCACTCCTCCTGGTACCTCCCACACAAAATGTCAAAATTTTCAAAGAAAATAATTTATTGCACAGAAAGAGAAAGGATAATCCGATTTTGCTCGAACTTTGCGAATCCTAATATTTGCATCAGTGCTAGGTCAGCTGCGAAAATTGACAATATCGGTTCACTCTTTCGGGTACCTCCCCCACAAAGGTCCAAAATTTTGAATAATTACAACTTCTCATAAAATGCGATGTAAGAGCCCGATTATCTTCAAGTTTCACACATACCAATATTTATATTAACCCAAGGTCTGGTGTTCCAATGGACAATATCGGTCCACTCCCTCTGGTACCTCCCCTACAAAAGGTCGAAATTTTCAAAATATATGTTTTTTGCACAAAAAGAGAAAGGATGATCCGCTTTTGCTCAAACTTTGCATATTCCAATATTTGCGTCAGTGCTATGTCAGGTGCGAAAATGGACAATATCGGTTCCTTCCATCAAGTACCTCCCCCACAAAGGGTAAAAACTTTGAATAACTACAACTGTTATAAAATGTGATGTAAATTTCACACACCCTAATATTTCTATCAACCCAGGGTCTGGTGTTAAGATGGAGTATATCGGTCCACTCCTTTGGGTACCTCCCCCGTATAGGGTCAAAATTTTAAATATCCATAACGCTCATAAATCGCGAAACTAAATCCGATTCCATTCAGACTTAACACATCTTAATATTTCTATCAACACAAGATCCGTTATAAAGATAGTATAGATCGGACCATTTCTTGTGATACCTCCCCAAAAAAGGGTCAAAATTTTGAATAACCAAAACGATAATAAAATCCGAAAATAGCATCTGGAGCTCCTCAAATTACATACATCACAATATTTTTATTAACTCAAGGTCTGGTGTGAAGGTGGAATATATCGATCAACTCCTTCTGGTAGCTCCCCCACAAAGGGTCAACATTTTGAATATCCATGATGCTCATAAATCATAAAATTGTCATCTGATTCCTTCTAAACATTTCGTATCTCAATATTTCTATCAACACAAGATCTGTTATAGAGATGGTAGAGATCGAACCATGTCTTCTGGTACCTCCCCCACAAAGGGTCAAAGTTTTGAATAACCAAAACGATTATAAAATCCGAAATAAGCATCCGGTTCCCTTCATATTTCACACATCCCATTATTTCTACTAACTCAGGATCTGCTGTGAAGATGGAATATATCGGTTTACTCCTTCTGGTACCTCTCCTACAAAGGGTCAAAATTTTGAATACCCAAAAAGTTCATAAAATTTCCCACACACGAACATTTTTGCTAACAGAAGATCTGTTGTGAAGATGATATACATCTGCCAACCCCATCTGGTATCTCATTCACAAAGGGTCACAATTTCCAATACTTATATTTGGCTTAACTTGCGAAACAAGTCGGTGATTCTTTACAACTTGATATATCTAAATCTAATCTTAAATCTGATATGAATATGTAATTTATAATTTCGCATAAAATTGGATATAAATGTTCTACTTCCTTCAAATTTTGCACATACCAATATTGGAATGGATTATTTCGGTCCGCTCACACATATTTCCACATTTTCCAAAAATTTGCACATAACTCATATAAAGTATTGGAAGTAGTCGATATAGTCCAAATCTTTCACGTAGTAATATTTATATCGACGTAAGACTACAGACAGATACGAATTGGCCAATATTGGCCAACTGCATCGGAACCTCCCCCATAAAGAGTCGAGAGTTTGAATAAGCATAAGTCAAGGCTGTGGGTATACATCTGTCGGCAAACCTGACTGATGCTATTTGATCCTACAATTATGAAAATATTTACAGCAGATGGGAAAAAGAGCTAAATTTTTCCAAAATAAACAAGATTTTTATTAACAGAAATTAATGATATTTTTAATGGTCCATATTGAATATACAAATTTCTTTTGCTCAGAGACTTACAATGAATTTGGATTAGAATAATTCTTACTTTGACACTCTTCCCAAGGAATGAAGTATGAAGGGAGATTTTAAGTGGGATTGGTTACACGTTAAATTAAAAATATGAAAAGCAAACACATAATTTCCACTTGTAGTATCTAAATTACAAATGTAATTTTCATAAAAACTATTATACCTAGATATACGGTTTATTTCGAGATTTATAGTGAAATTTTGTGTTGAATATTTCTCCTTTTGACGGCTACCCCCAAAAACGAAGTTTTATGCTACTTTCAGATGCCAATTTGAAATAAGTCAAAAGAAAATTGCTCAAAACACGTTATTTTCACTTGTGGTACATAATTTTCGAATGCAATTTTCTTGAAAACTATTATACCTAAATATGTAGTTTATTTTGAAATTTTTAGTAAAATTTTGTGTAGAATATTCCTTACTTTGACACCTTCCGTCTAAAACGAAATTTTATGTTACTTTCAGAGGTTAACTCGAAAAAGGTTAGGATAAAATTGCTAATAAAGTAAAACACAATATTTGCACTTTTGGTACATAAATTAGGAATGTAATTTTCATAAAAACTATTATACCTAGATATATAGTTTATACTGAGATTTATGGTGAAATTTTATGTAGAATATTTCTTCTTTTGACAACTTCCCCCAAAAACGAAGTTTTATGTTACTTTCAGACGTTAACTCAAAAAAAGGTTAGGAGAAAATTGCTAAAAAAGTAAAACACATTATTTTCACTTTTGGTACAAAATTTGAATGTAATTTTCATAAAAACTATTATACATAGATATATGATTTATTCTGAGATTCATAGTGAAATTTTGTGTAGAATATTTCCTCTTTTGAAAGCTTCCGCCTAAAACGAAATTTTATGCTAATTTCAGGCGTCAACTAGAAAAAAGGTCAGAGGAAAATTGCTCAAAACACATTATTTTCACTTTAAGAACATAAATTTGGAATGTAATTTTCATATAAACCATTGTACCTACATATATATTTTATTCTGAAATTTATAGTGAAATTTTGTGTAGAATATTTCCTCTTTTGACAGCTTCAGCCTAAAATGAAATTTTATGCTACTTTCTGGCGTCAACAGGAAAAATTGCCAAGGAAAAATTTATCAAAAAAATTTAGGGAAAATTTTCGGATTTTTTGCCACATTGATGCGCATATTTTCTTAATATAAAATGGAAATACAAATTTCTCTTCTTTGGTGACTTATGGCAAAATTTGATGAAGAATATTTTTGTCTTTGGCGTCATCCATCCAAAATGATGCTTTGTTGGAGATTTTGGCACACACTCACACATAGCATGGCTTCAAGTCAAAAATGTAGGTAAGATTTAGACTTTTGACGTCTTCTAGGACCTATAGTAGAATTTTATGACAAATAATTTTGTAGAATATTTTGACATGCTACGATCGTGTTTAAATAGAGTTCTTAACCATATTTCCAAAAAAGGATCAAAAAGGCCCCTTGTAGACTCGACCCTTATTCGACCATAATATTCTTATCTAAAATGCCGAAAAATTCCAAATATGTGGAAGGAGGGGGGAACTTGCCCTCGCTGTTTAGCTTCTTTCTGCTGGATTTTCTCCGAAGACCAAGGAAAAGGTGATAAAAAAATTAAGAAAAATATCTTTGACGTCATCCATCTAAAATGATGCTATGTTGGAGATTTTTGCACAAATTCATACAAAGTATGATTTTAACCCTAAAATATCTCTTTAATATATAAGAATTTCTGGCGTTTTGGTCAGATTTAGACTTTTGATATCTTCTAGGACCTATAGTAAAATTTTATGACAAATAAAATTGTAGAATATTTTGCTTTGCTATGATCCCGTTTAAAGGGAGTTTTTAGCCCTATTTCCAAAAAGTGACCAAAAAGACCCCTTTGTTGACTCGCTTGAGGGTTAAAATATTCCACCAAAAAATTCTAAGTATTTTTATCTGTAATATTGCCGATTACACTATATACCTAAAATGCAAGGATTCCGAGGAATCTCAATCCGAAAATATCCAAATATGTGGAAGGTGGGGAAACTTGCCCTTGCTA